TTACTGGGGTCAACACTGATTGGTGATAGTCTGTTTCATACTTGGAAGTTAATCTTCATAGACTGAAGATTGCTTTCACACACTTTTATCATATATATATATATATATATATATATATATATATATATAGGTACCTCTGCTAATTCTCTATATGTCAGGTTTAAATAAATTTTAAAAAAAATGAAAAAACTTTCTTGAAGTTTTCATTTTAGCTGTAATTGAAAGTTAAAGGATTTAAAATTTATTGTTTCCAGTAAGGAAAATACTCTGTGGTGTATTTCAGAGAGAAATTATATTAATCAGAATTTTTTTCAGTAAAATCGATCAGAAACGTCTATTTTTGATACATTTGTAAAAAGTTAATTCTCAGTTTTAAAAATCTTTCAAAAATAAAATATATATTTCTGAAAAGATATTTGAGAAAAATTAGCAAATTTAAAGTTCAATTAATCTGATTTGAAACAAATATTACTTATAGCATAAAATGTTGTATACAAACATTTCTGAACTACAGAGACTTGTTTTTCTGACGTTAATTTATTGACAGTGGATTGACAGCCAAATGTGTTCATAGTTAAGTATGGTGGAGCAGATGATACACTTTATAAAGGGAAGACAACCCTTAAAACTTGTGATCTTTTAATGACAGATTTATCAGTTTGTACACCCATACTTCAGAAATTCTGCATGTAATCACACATACAAAAACAAATTGAAATTCTTTTAAAAATATTCAGTCATCAAATTGTAATAAGCTTAACAATATATTATTAGTAAATATACTTTTACTTAATAACAATATTTTCTATGAATTATCACAGTGAAAATAAATTTTAAAAAACTATAAATTATTCAACAAATCTTGAAAATGTTTTGTCTTCAGACAATAATTTTTTTAATATATAAGGCAATTAAAAGCTTCTCTAATTAAATAATGTTTTAGTTTTACTGCATTTGTGTTTTTTCAATACAGAACTGATTTTCAGTAAGATGGGGTCTGACTTTGCAAAAACAATTTGGTGATTTTATTTCTTCAAAGAATTCTTCTTTTAACTAATATAGTCACTAAAAATTATCACTTTGAATTTCTCAAGTTTTCATAAAATTAAATAAGGGGCTGAAACACATGTAAAAAAATATTTTTATCAAGTTTTTCTAATAAGAAAATTTAAAAAATAATTTCATTTATTTGTCAGGTCCTGAAAATTTCATTAAAATCTGACAATTATTTGATTTTTGCAAGAATTTCCACATTTATATGTCTGTCACCACAAAAAAAGAGGCTAAAATTTGCTATGCTAAAAGTTAGTACAACCTGTGATGCAAGGAAAACAAATTTAGTCAAAATTTCAAATGTTCTAAAAAAGAGTGAAAACTGTTAAACATTAAAAAAATACTTTGATCCTTCCTCTTAATAATAATATAATGATTTTGATGATAAAACTATGATCTACTGTCCTCCTGATTACACTTCTATTGTTCTCGCTCATTAATAATGTTTCTTTTTTTTTTCTGTGTCTTAGTGGCATGGCATGATGTGATTCAAAACAAAATACACCTTATGTCCCCAGGTAATTATTTGCTGGTGTCCATATAAGTTAGGAAAACTATGCAAGACTATCTAAAGAATATATTTTTATTGCCTTTAAGAAAGCTGCATCTGAGAGAGACATGGATTTATGTTTGCTTCTGAAATGTAAGGGATTGATTAGAGAGAAATCTGTCTAATTGGTCTCATTATAAATCATCTGAGATGGTGTACAAACAGGTTTTATATCTCTGAGCCCCCCATGAAGAAGTCATCTGCACTTATACTCAATAAAAGGATAATGGTGCATGACAATTGTTTCATGCTAACCCTTAACTTCAGGTTACCCAATTTAAAAAAACAAAAAACAGTATCATTATTAAACTAGTGTTCATGTGACAGGATTGTCAATAAGATGAATTGCAAAGATAATCATTTTGACACCCCCAACAAATAATAAAGTGACAGTGGGTGCCTATGGTTAAACTCTTATTATTATGTTGGGAGGGTGTTATGAGTATCAGACCAAGATTTTCATTTCTGTTATCATCTTTGTATATTGGTGTTAATAAGTCTACCACTACATCATAATAATAATATAGCTCACTCCCCAAAATCAAGGATTGAATACTAATTATGTCTGGTTTCGTTTGGTTTATGGCATATCAACAACTCAGTGGGTTATTTAATGCCAACAAGATTTTTATCGCTGGTAATATTTTTTTTTCAAAAATGTATTGCTGGTAATATGTTTTTCTTCAAAAATTCATTGCTGGTAATAAACATTTACAAAAATTTTGTAAATGTTTATTACCAGCAATGAAAGTGTAAAATTAGGTTTTATTGCTGGTATTAAAACCTAATTTTACACTTTCATAGGTTTTGACCCCAGTTTGGTGGATCAACTATTTGCCCATAGCTGGGACCCCTAACTGGTGCTACCACCCTGGGTCAGGATGGACCTAGGAACACCAGCAATTTAGAGGTGGTTCCACGCTCCTCAAAACCTCCTGATCAGAGACTTTGCTGTTGGATGTAGTTTATCGTCTTACCCAGAATGCGGATGTAGTTTATCGTCTTACCCAGGACCTAATTATGCCTGGAATAACAACAATCACCAAGTGGACTCAAACAAAGGTGGAAAAATGTTATCCACATGATTGTGCAGAAAGAATGCCTTGGTAAAGTGGCCTCTCATCTGCACTAGTGTTTATGGAAGAAGTCTGAAGTTGAAGTCAATGAGAAATGGTAATACCACAAGCCAGAGAGGGAAAATATAATGGTAATATTAGCCATTTCCTTATGCAGAAACATTTGGCATTCATTAACCAAGCAGTCAATGCAGCTTTCACTAAATATTTATGAAAAACTTTCTATTAAAATAGTTTATCAAGAAAATAGGTTTCTCATGTTCAATAGTTGTTTATCCCTCTTTCCAGTATTGATGGGTGTTTCTTTCCTAACCTTTTGTTTGAAGTAGTGTGGAATGTCAACATTTTCATTACATTATCATTTCACTCTGAGTTTCATATGATATCCATTTTAGTTGTTGCTGCTCTTGAAAGTCCTCAAAGCTATGTGTTTCTGTTATCTGGTACAGTTCTTGGTTTTTGATTCTGTAGGATCAGTTCACAATGTTCAAAGAAGGATGGTCTTCACCAACATCTACAGGCTTCACTCACTCAAAGCCACTTTTAACCACTGATTTTAGAAAGTGGCTGTATAGAGCTGACAGTTTAGACATTTCTGAATGAGTTTGATGCTATGCATGACATCCGTATGAAAGTATCGATCTGATGAGAGCTATTTAAGAAGATGAATTTGCAGTCTTCAGTGAAACTACTTCTAGAGTGGACTATTGTATGTTCAATTTATTTATCTCCTATATTAGATTTGTTATAACTGAGCCATACACTGATGTATTTGAAGTGTTTAGTATTAACTAATTCGACATTCTGAATTTTTATGATGGATTCAGGTTACATGCCATCACTGCTTTCATTCCAATTGCAAATTATTGTTTCCCTTTTGGAAAGGTTTATCTTGATTTTTACTTCTTGAAATAATTTGTAGAGGATGTTGGTAATTTGTTTAAGTTCATTCTTATCTAGACTTTGAATACCTATGTCATCAGAATAGTCCCCATCATTGTTAGTACATTGGTTTTGGGAGAGAAAGGAAGATTGTGGTCTTCTATTAGTTGATTAATTTGGGATGTGGTATGGAATGCTTAAATGATCAGTGCCCATTTCTTCACATCTAGGCTTGTAAATGTGTCAAGTATAGTCAAGGAAAAGATTAGATAGAGTGGGGATCTCATTTCCTCCTTGTTGTAGTCCTGATTAGGTTTTAAATGTTTTTGCTATTGGGGTTCCTTATCAGACAAGTAAGATTTTGTGGACCAATAAACTTCTCCTATTAGATCAATAGATTAAAAACTTGGAAGGAAGATGATTGGAAATAACCAAATAAAGATTTTGTGGAATTTCAACATCCAAAGAGGCTACCAAACTAGACATCATAGTCATTGGCAAAAAAAAAAAAAAGCAAGAAAATGCTTCCTCCTCAACATGGTTGTTTCTGGTGACCATAATCTGTCAAGGAAACTGACAAGCTTAAGAAATACACTGACCTGTGGCCTCTGGGTTGATGTTGTAGAATGTGAGATGTTCAAGCAACTCTTGGCCTAGTTATCATTGGGGCACTGTGGTCTATACCACCAAACTGGAAGTAATTCATTGTGAAAATTGGAATAAAGTGTAGTATCTTATGTAATATCAGTCCTCCTATATGACACTGAATGCTGGACAATATCATCACAGAGGAAGACTTGAAGCAACAGAAATGTGGTACTACAGAAAGATGATGGAAATACCATGTACTGAACATGTGAGCAACAATGAAGTTTTAGAGAAAATGGAAACAAAAAGAAAGAGTTGAAATTTCTAGGGTACATAATGAACAAAAGAGGGCTTGGAAAATTTGATACTCACAGGACAGATTGAAGACAAGAGGGATAGAGGAAAACAGCACATAACCTACCTTGTGCAAATGGATGGCAGGACAGGGTTTAGGAGATATAGAGCTACAAAAGACAGGAAATTGTGGAGGGCCATAATTGCCAATGTCTTTAAGAGATATAGCACATAGAAAAAAAGTCATCCTTTCAGAAGCTTGAATTGCTTAGCACTGCTAATATTTTGTGAAAGATGTCTGAAGATGTATGATTTAATGAACAATGCCTATAATGTAAGATTTCTTGAATGAAAATGAGAAACCTTGTCAAAGATAATAATAATAATAATAATAATCATGCTTAAAAAAATTGAATAAAAGAACTTTTTTGATACTGTGTACATAAGTTATTTATCTTCAGGGTATAAGAAATAAAAGATTGTGACTTTTGAATTTTTTTTCCTATTTTCTTTGGTCAAAATCATATTTTGATAAGAAAATAATTTCCATGATAGATTTATATTATACTCATTCCTGGCACCAAATATTTCTTTGACAATTTAAAACAAGGAAGAAAAATAAGAGTAGAAAGATGCAAAAGAAAGAAATTCAAAAGAAGACATGAGAAAGAAAAGAAGAAAGAGAGAGAATGAGAAGAAGGCAAAAGATGAAAACAAAAGTAGGAAAGAAAAGAAAAATAAGACATTAAAAAAGAGAAAAAGATGAAGGTAAGTGGAGATATAAGAGAGAGAGAGAGAGAGACAAAAAGTAAAGAGAGAGATGAAGAAATACAAAAATAAAGAGAGATATGAAAAAACAGAAAAACTAGAGAGAAGTAAGAGATATGAAAGGAAGGCAAAAAGAAGGAAACAGATGCGGACAAAGAAAGGCAAAATTTGGAAAAATAAAAGCAAAGAGAATTAAAGAAAAAATATATGGAAAAAGAGCAAAAAGCAAAAAAGTAAAGGGAGATAAGGAAGAAATATAAAAGAGAGAAACAAACATTGAAAAAAAAAGAGAAAAAGAAACATTGAAAAAAAAAGAGAAAAAGAAACATTGAAAAAAAAAGAGAAAAAGAAACATTGAAAAAAAAAAGAGAAAAAGAAACATTGAAAAAAAGAGAGAAAAAAAGTAGGAAATGCTTAAAAGAAAGGAAGAAAGAAAAATAAAAGTAAATGTGTCAAATGGTTTAAGTGATGTAAAAAGAGTAATACATAAAAAACAGAACTTGTTTTATTTGACAAGAAAGAGTTGGAGAAAGGAAAAGAGGAAAACTAAAAAGGAAAATCAAAGACAATGCTAAGAAGTGAAGAGAAAAAGAGAGAGAGATAAACGACAATTAGAGGAAGATTAAGAGAAGGAAACAGGATGTTAACAGCAAAGAAGAATAAGAAATTTAAAAGAATTAAGGAGAAAGAAAGAGAAAGAAAAATGTATAGCAAAGAGCATATAAATGAGTTTAAAATGAAGGAAAGAAAGACGGATAGAGAAATAAAGTGATGAAATGAGAGAAAAAGAAAGGAAAAAATGGAAAAAGGAATCGAAAAAGAAGCAGAGGCGATTTAGGGTTAGCCGAAAGCTATCAGAAGCTTAAGATAACAGGTCATAAAACAAAGAAAGACAGTGAAGCCCTTTTGTAAATGGATACAATTTCACTTATCTTGATAGCTGATCAGAGAAAAGGGAAATAGCTTCAAGCAATGAGAATCTTCCCTAAGATTATTTCTTGGTATATAAACGTGTGCGACCAGAAGCCATGTACATGGAACAGACAATTTATTTTGAGGTTTTGGGGTTGTATTTTGTTTTCCTCATTTGCTTTTCTTTTTAAAATGGTCTGAGATTTAATTCAATGGATATTAACATCCAGTTTACAATCTCCACAGTTTATAGGATGACTTTTCACTTCTTGAGTTATGGCTCTTCTTTGTTGTGTCTTGAATTTCAAGTTGCACGTAGAATTGACAAGGAGAAACTGAGTTTATTTTTACTCATAGTCTCAAATTAACCATTGTGATTTAGTTTTAGTTTTTTTTAACTAAATGGATGCCAAAAAAAAGAAACGAAACTATGAGAACAGAACTTACAGTTGCATCTTGCTCGTTCAACAGTAAAAGCTACCAATTAGTAGCCCCCCCATCCCATAAGAATGTCTGACGCTCAACTCCACGAGAGCACCTCTTTGTGACTGCTCGGTCTCACATTGACTGCTGACCTGAGATGGAACAAATACATTGAGTCAATAGCTTCGTCCACTGCAAGGAAAGTTGGCTCCCTGTGCCCTTGCATGGAGTTTTAGTGCCATATATGGTCTGAAGCACCTTCTGTTTGTCTCAAGGTCCTTGATAAAATCCAAAGATGGATATATCCCTCTGTCTTTTTTACAAATACTTTCACGGTAACTGCTCCAATGAACTGCTTTTGCTGGTTCCCAGACTTCATGAATTTAAGCGTTCAACTAGGCTGGCATCTCGCTCACACCCTTTCACTGTCGAAACTGTTAAATGTGGCCATCTCTTCTACTCCAGTAGCTTTATGTCTCCACACCTCTCACCTGTGGAAATCCTTCCCCCTTTTCCTGTTTCCCTGATAGCTATAATCTCCAATTATTCAAATGTAATGTCAATCAATGTCTCCAGATGCCCTGATCTATCCCCTATCCTCCTCTTCATTCTTTCCTCTATCCCTCCTATTTGCTCTCGTTCCAACTCTCTGTAACCCCTTGCGTGCTAGTGGCTTCCTGCCTTGCTTGGGTGAAGTGCTTAAAAAAAAAATACTTAGATTCATGCAGTCAAAGCACCATGAGGAAAGCTCATCAGAACAATATTCAATGCACAGACAAATGGTAGATTTATAAATGTCTAAGATGGATTCTGATGAGAAAAATTGTCTGGTACAATAGAGTGAACCAACTTTTCTAGCAGTAGACCAAGCAATTGATTTCATACAATCACTCCAATTCATATCAGTGGAAAACATGAACCCAAGGATGTACATGGAGTTGCTCACTTGGAGGTTAGCATCAGCCATGCTTAACTTCATATTTATCATCTATTTGTCTATTTGTCTCATTGCAAACAGAAAAAAATGTGTTTTAATTCAATGATTAGATTTATTTTTCTCTCCATATGATTGGTTACATATCACACCTTTGTTCTTTGCAAGTGAATAAAAGACCTGTAAATGTAAAGAGTTGCTTCCCTTTAATCCTGTGAGTGAATAACAAAGCAATAAACCTCGTGCCATGAGAAACATTGATCTTCAGAAATTCATTTAACTATGATTTTCTTTTTGTTACTAAAGGTCACCCAATACAAGGCTCAAGGGTCCCTCAAGGTAGAGGATTTCTGAGTGATGTGTGTGATATAAATATAAGAAGAGGTAGGAGGAAGTTAAGATTATGAGGATATGGAGGACAGATAATGATTGACCCTTGACATGAAGATGTTATGATTGTAGTGTTCGGGGAAACATCTACAGACAAGTGTGTTCTACAAGGTAGCAATTCTCATCAAAAAGCGGAACTTCCTCCTTACAAATGGAATAAGGAGGAAATTAAGGTGATTTGACTCCATTTACATAACAAGTATTAGCTGTAAAGGTCTGAACTGGTGGAAATAAAGAATGGAGTTTATCTGAACATAGAAATAGCAATAGAATCATCATAGGCAGAGATTGAAGAGTGGAAAATGTCTGTATGATTTAAGAATAGCTGTGAGGTGAGAAGAGGTGGATTCATACCTTTCCTAAGAATATTTGAATGTAACTGAATATAACGAACCCAACTGGAATTAGAACTTTGCTCTTTCCGATTTCTAATTCCAAGCTGTTATCCATTACACCACCTATATATCAAAGCTTTCAGCACCTGGTATTCCCAAGTTGTCACCCATATAGGTACTGACCAGTCTCAACATTGCTTAACTTTGGTGATTGTATGAGAATTGGTGCGTGAATGTGATATGGCTGTAAGGTAAGCAGAACAGAGGAAAACAGTGTATAACCTACCTAACGAGCTTGTTAGATTAGCAGAGATAGCAAAATGACAGACCTTACTGAGCTACAACAGATAGGAAATTGTGGAGAGCTATGATAACCCACATCCAGAAAAGACATGACACATAGAAGAAAATGGAGGAACATAGACAAAATTGTTTTGAACTGATTATTTATATGGTTTCTACATATTTTTTTTTTTTTAGAATATGAAAGCAGTTATCTTGACATTGTCCAGTATGATATCAGAGCTTGGTCTATAAAATCTGTCACATATCTTCTTCTATGCACCAAGTCCCTTCACGGCAATCGTTGGCACTTGATAACTTCCATCTTTTTTTGTCCTAAGTATGCTTTTCCTATTTACTATCTCTTCCTTCTGTGATGCATTCACACAAACTTAAATCAGTTAGATACTGTTTTCCTTGCTTCTTTTGCCATCACTGTCCTGTGAGTGTTAGATTATCTAGGCCCCCTTTCCTCATTATGTTTCCTAAAAATTTTAATTTCTTTTTTTCCAAAGTATAAATTCCTGTGTTGTTTGTACCTTCTTTATGATTTACTTGTTGCTCAGATATTTTGTCTATAGTATTTTCAGCATTTGTGTTGTGGAGTATTTTTCACAGTGGAGGCTTGTATTTCAATAAGTCGTCCTAAATTAGGTTGGACGTACAAAACATTAGGAACTTGGAAAATAAGAGTTAATGACGCAGCAATCTAGTTTTGATGGTTGGTACTTCAATGTCCGATATCATCTGACTACCTCAACACCATTGAGCCCGATCTAGCGACCACTACTAGTACTTATTACTTATTATCTGTGGGAGAGTCCATTACAATAGAATAGGTAATATGGCATGACAATTTGCTAGGAGAACCACATCGCTTCTTCATCTGTTAGTAGGTTGTCCAGCACTTCCTCACTTATAGTTGATATTACATAGCAGTTCAACATACCTTTTTTTCTATTTCTATCAATTCCTATTTCAGATAAATATTATTGAATGTGATAAACAAGGAAAATTTTTGTTATTTTATTTAGTTTTCTCATGTCTTGGAGACACCAAAATTCAGCAATAACAAAAATTTGTGAAGTGTTTTTATAAATCTGAAGGTGCATTGAAATAATGAAATATGCTCCCTAGAAGTTAAGCAAAATATTAAAAAAAATAGGAAGATTTTGTTAGAAACAGAAAAGAATGCTCAACTGCTTGCTGCATAATATAAATCATCCTATATGGCAGTAAATGCTGGTCAATCACCTCACAGATGAAAAAGAGATTTGAGGCAATAGAAATGTGTTTCTACAGAAGGATGCTGAGAATACAATGAACTGAACATATGAGCAATGACAAAATTTTCAGGAAAATGAGCAAAAAAATGGACACATACTTTAAATCAAAAACAGAAAGTTGAAATTTCTAGGGCACATAATGAGGAAAGAAGGCTTGGAAATTTTCACACTCACAGGACAGCTGAAGGCAAAATGGCTAGAAGAAAGCAGTTAATAAACCTACCTAACAAACTTGTGTAGTTGGTCAGCAGGCAAGAAATTAGGAGAGATAGCAAAAAGATAAGCTTTAGTAAGAGCTACAAAGGATAGAAAGTTGTGGGGAGCCATGATAGCCCATACCCTGAAGGGACATTTTTTTTTGCAATAATTTTCAACATGTACAAGGCCCAAAAGCCACTTGAGCTAGAGTGTTACAGAGTAAGAGGCAGAGTTTATGGGGATATGTACAGAAGATAACAGTTGACCCCTTCACATGATCAGGTTAAGATTGTAATGATCAGGGTAGCATCCTCTTTGGAGTTGGTTCCGCAAAGCAGCAGTTTGTGGGAAGAAAAAACTACTTGAGTGGAACATCTCACCAAAGTAATACAAAGCAAATGAGGGTGGTTTGCTTCAATGGACGTGGCAAGGTGGGTCTTAGCTGTGAAGGTTAGAACTGGTGGAACTAAGGAATATAATTTGTCTGAACCTATGCTTTAAGCCATTAAGCTATTGCCTCATGAGGAAGTAAAGATGAGGATATTAGTCTAAATGCAAATAATGATAACTCCTCATTCCAGAAAAGAAGGTAAGATCTATCAAACCAGTACAGATCTGATATGATACACCAATGAAGACTGATTAGAATAAAGATGAGGATATTAGTCTAAATGCAAATAATGGTAACTCCACATCCCAGAAATTCAGGTAAAAATGATCCAATCAGTACAGACCTGATGTGATACACTAAAGAAGTCTGATAATGATAACAAAGATGAGGATATTAGACCAAATATAAATAATGATAACTCCTTATTCCAGAAATTTTAGGAGAAATTATCCAATCAGTACAGATTTAATGTGATATGCCAATGGAGGCTGATAAGATGAGGATATTAGTCTGAATGTAAATAGTAGAAATAATCAGCTGAATTTACTAAATAACAGCCATATTTCTTTGTATTAAATCTCAACAGAATCAATTCTCTTTCTTTCTTCCATACACATTTTTGAAGCAGTGAGTGTCGATTATCAACAAAATAGGCAGTTACAAATATCTCTCTTGTCGGGGTGGATAACTCAATTCTCTTTGTGATGGCATTACCTTTTTGGAAGACAAATGACTAAAGACTTTTGTTTTGCCTTTTTGGTTTCATTTCTGCTTGATGTCTATTCAATTTCACCCAATTCTTTCTCAATCACCTGTCTACCCAGCCCCCTCTGGCAACAGTACCCACAAACCTACACCAAAACATGTTTCAACTGCTGAACAAGTAAATCTCTATTTTACAGCCTCAGTCTTGCCTGACAGGTAAGTATCCCAGGTTATCCCCACCCACCATATCTATACACTCCTAGCTTGATCATCCCACTTCATTCGGTTTGACTTTTCGATGGATGAATGGACAGGGTTATTGAGGGATAGCGTTTCTCTTCTGTTTTGAGACACATCAGCCATTGTGATTGGCAGAAACAATGAACTCATCGTTTTCAAATTTACACCACAGCCAAAGAGAAACTGTCCACTAACTAATGTAGATTAATTGTGCAGTCCTGTCACTAATCAAAATAGAAATACACCTCAACCAAATTAATAGTATCCTCTTGGTGAATGTCAAATTGTCTTCTTTTTTTTTTTAACTTTTTTTATGAGGTGGTGCAAAGTCTTTCTTTTTCCTACGATAGACATTTTTTCTTTCTCTCACCTTGCCTTGATGTTTTTGCATTTTTTTTTAATGTCTTTGTTTCTCCTTACATTTATTTGTTTTACTTACTTCACAAGTTTATCTTCAGCTTTTACTTTTTTTTTTTTAATCCTATTTCTTTCTTTACCAAAACAGAATTGCTTCAAACTTTGTCTATGTCAATGGTGGACATCTTTAGAAAAGTGATAAAGAGAATTCTTGAAGACACAGGGTCTCAAATAAAGTGCTTGTGTTTATATGCTGCCCGACCATTTGTTGTTACTAGAAAGATGAATAAAAACATCCTATTTACAATATTCCGACTGCTATTCTCATCTTCATTGTCACATTCACAACATTTCGTCCGTTTTACGCACCAGCCTTCCTCAGGTGATTAGAATCTCAAACCAAGCCTTTATTTCATCCACTGGGGTAGACTGTTCAAGTTCCATGTGCCATGCCCCTTCCAGATAACTCGGTTATTTCTCTTTAACTCAAGTCTCCAAGTTTTTGGTTCACTACTTCTGTAGCCTGACATTGAATTCACAACTCTTTGGGTCTAGTCACTGGATCCAACCAATGTCATTATCTACTGGGCCATGTGTTCTTGAGGCATGGCATGTGGAACTAGAACAATCTATCTCAGTGGATGAAATAAAGGGTTCAGTTTGAAATTCCAATCACCTGAAAAAGGCCAGAGTGTACGACAGCTGAAACACTGTGAATATGGCAATAAAGATGAGGATAACAGTCCAAATAATATTAATAATGGAAGTAATCATAATACCTCATCTCAGAGATATAGACAAAAATGTCTTAATGTCATAAAATGGTAATGGTAATAGCTGTTCCTCATAAGGAAACATTCAACATTCACTGACCAAGCAGCTAGTGCTACTTTCAACTGAAATTTATATAATTTTTCTATTAAAACTATTTTCCTCCAGAAAGTAGGTTCCTCAAGTCAAATGACTTATTATTCTTTTTCTGTACTGCTGGGGGTTTTCTTCCTCACTTTTTGTTTCAAGTAGTGTGGAATATCAACATTTTGATTATGTCATCATTTTCTCTTCAAGTTACAGGTGTAATCCATTTTAGTTATGCCTGCTGTTGAAAGCCCTCAAGTCATGCAATTTCTATTATTTGGTACAGTTCTTTGTGATTCTGTAGCAACTGTCCACAAGGTTGGAAGAAAGATAGTCCTCACAAAGACCTATATGCCTCATTTTCTGGAAGCAATTTATAACTATTGATCTAAGAAAGCAGTTGTAAACAGCTAAGAGTTTAGATATTTCTGAAAGAAACGTGTGCTATGCATAACATCCATGTGAAAGTTTTGATCTGACAAGACTGTTCAAGAACATAATTAGAGCACTTTAGTGAATAGTATGCTTACTTACTATACTATTTCTCTTATTCATAATATTTCTTTCACATTTTATATTATGAAAAGACTTTTTCAATGGTTTGGACAATATAAAATCTAATTTATTGAATATCTACTGTTAACAAGTGACAACTATTCAGAAAGTAAGAGATAATGCAATTTTACTCAATGTAATTAAAGAAATAAAACAAAATTATGCTTTTAAACACTCTAAATTTATGAAAAACTTATAAAGTTGTGTGCTAAAAAAACAACAAAACATGACTTATTCATAATTAAGTGGTTTCCTTCTTCCAAATAAGACAGAAATTGTTATTGATGATTATTGATAATGTGATTATCTGAAAAAAAAAGTTGATTCTGATGAAATATTTTTTTAAATTGTGTACTTTGGAATTCTAAAAATAATAAGTACTTGGAATTATAAAAACAGGAGTACTTTCAGATTATTAAAAATGAGTACAGTGGTATTATAATAAACTGAGTACTTTGGAATTATTGGGGGGAAAAAGAAGATTCATTTGGAATTATTTTCAAAAAATGTGTACTTTGGAATTTTTTTTTAAATGAGTACTTTTGAATTTTTTTAAAATGAGTACTCTGGAATTTTTTTTATATGAGTACTTTGGAATTTTTTTAAAAAATGTGTACTTTGTTTGTTTTTACAAATGAGTACTTTGGAATTTTTTTTAAAAATGAGTACTTTGGATTTAAAAAAAAAAAATGAGTACTTTGGGGTTGTTTTTTTTTAAAATGAGTACTTTGGATTTTTTTTTTTTTTTTAAATGAGTACTTTGGTTTTTTTTAAAAAAATGAGTACTTTGGAATTTTTTTTTTTTTTAAATGAGTACTTTGGATTTTTTTTAAAATGAGTACTTTGGATTTTTTTTTTAATGAGTACTTTGGAATTATTTCTTAAAAAATGAGTACTATGGAATTATTAAAAAATGAGCACTCTGGAATTATTAAAAAAAATTAAGTTCTACATTTTTTCTTAAATCTTTGTTGTATCAAAATGTTGTTTGAAATTTAAAAAATGAGTTAATGCATAAAATATTCTTCTATATTGACACTAGAATAAGAATAATTTCCCCCTTTTAGATTAAATAAAGGGTTCAGTTTAAAATTCCTTGATGGTTACCCAGATCAAGACACACCTGAAGAAGGCTGGAGGGCATAACAGCAGAAACAATGTACTAATAAAAACAAAAGAAAAGGATATTAGTCCAAATTTAAATAATTAGTCTTAATCCCAGAAATTCAGTCAGAAATCATAGCATGACATGCACACAAATGTTCCATGTGCCCTTATTTTGAAAACTGGTGATTGGATGCCCAACTGAAAACCGATGTAGAATTTTCTGTATTCAATGTTCATTGAAAAAAGATGGCAGCAGACAAACTACATATATGACACTACATGTTTTTCTCTACTTGAGAGGAAAAGTTAGTTCCCTGCATATAGCAATTTAATTTTCAATAGTTGAAAGCACCTGAAGCATCAAAAACAAAACATGACCTTCTTGGTGTGGCATGAGAAAATTAGTTTATAAAATAATTAGTGGTGCAATTAAGAAGGGATAAGTGAAATAAGAATCTGCAAACAATCATGTATTGCATAAAATCAAATAAGTTAAACAAAGCTCAGAGGCTAATAGAACAATGAAAATATTGTTTTAACAACAGTAAATGAAAATGATGTCAAAAATAAAATTAAAACTGAAAAAAAATAAAAGAACAATGTTATAATGTTCATTATTTCTTGGAATTTATTGTTTCTAAATTTAACAATATTTGAACATGAGATCGTAATTATTTTGTTGTTTTTACTTTCAACATCATTTATCATTTTCTTTATCAAAGCCTTGAACTCAGAAAAGAAAATATCTGTTTTATCACTCAGCATTTTCTATTTTTTTTATGTAGGATTACCACCCACTTGGCTTAGAATTACAAGTGACACTTGATCTCTTGAATGATTTGAATTCTTTTACTTTGACCATGTGACAAAAAAAAAAAATTCAATCTCTGACAGCACTATCTCTGTCTCTTCATATATATATCTGGTATTTTCATATATATTCATTTATCACTGTTCATTCACATCTATCTTTTCATATCTATCCCTTTATTTATCTATGACAGCCTGTCTATCTAGCTATCATAGCCTATCTACCTCTCTATCTATCACATCCTGTTTATCTATGACAGCCTGTCTATCTAGCTATCATAGCCTACCTATCTATCCCATCTTGTTTATCTATGACAGCCTGTCTATCTCACTATCATAGCCTACCTCTCTATCTATCACATCCTGTTTATCTATGACAACCTGTCTATCTAGCTATCATAGCCTCTCTATCACATCTTGTTTATCTATGACAGCCTATCTAGCTATCATAGCCTATCTACCTCTCTATCTATCACATCTTGTTTATCTATGACAACCTATCTAGCTATCATAGCCTATCTACCTCTATCTATCACATCCTGTTTATCTATGACAGCCTGTCTATCTAGCTATCATAGCCTATCTACCTCTCTATCTATCACATCCTGTTTATCTATGACAGCCTATCTAGCTATCATAGCCTATCTACCTCTCTATCACAGCCTATTTTTATATTTATCTATCATCACCTGTCTATCTAGCTATTATAGCCTATCTAACTCTCTATCTATCACAGCCTTTTTATAGCTATCTCTGTCTATATCTACTTACCTAATATGCAAATTAGACAGGGATTTTCAAGAAAATAACTTTTAGTATTACTACAAAACTAAAATTTCAGCTAAATTTAGTCAATACTTAGGATCTTCTGTGGATAAGGAGAAATAAATAAACATTTACCTACAATTAAAATTATTGAAAAATATCACAGAAAGTAAATATACTGAATTTTTGGAAAGATTCCACTAAACAGCATTCAATATTTATTGAGGAATGTATTATATGTTTCTCTGAGAGACAGAGATTAGCAAATATTTATAAGGCAGATTTCTTGTTGAAACTAACACCAATTCTTTTGTAGCACTACTTTATGCTTTCAAATCCTTCAAGTGAAGTGTGTATGAACCTCCAACAACTATAAATGATTTCTCTTCAGTGTAATTCTGTAAACATGTTTTATATTTTATGATTATTGGCTTAATATTCATGATTTGTTCTTTCTTTCTTGTCATCAAATTGAACTTGAAAGACTTCTCTCAAGATCAATTCTTTCTGGCTCCTTAACTATTTGTAGCTATTTAAATGGACAAAGCTTTATTGCTGTTGTCTGGCATTATTTTCATTTAGTATTCCCATTAGGACATTGGCATCAACAAGTTACATATGAAAACTTGCACATTACCTGAACTGACGAGAAATAATTTATGAGATTTGATCCAAGAGAAGAACATGTCAGAATTCAT